GGGGGGGGTCAGGAAGTCTCTAAGCTAATCCATTCTTTAGACATGTTATCTGATAGTCAATACCAAGAATATTCCTAGACAGTTTATTAACAGCCCATTGACATTATGGAGGTATCACAATCAAGAAAAACTGGGATGCCAACCTCCATCTATCAGTGGCTATTTCTAGGACATTTGTTATAAGGTTAAGCTGAGCATGGTGGTACACACCTATAGTCCCAGCACTCTGGGAGGCTAATATAGGAAGACAAGTTCATGCCCAGGGCTATGGCTTCTGTTTAGTTGTCTTGCACAAAGCCTCATACAGTCATAACTGGGGCTTTTACAGAGGAGGCTGAATCTAGAGTGTGTGAAGGAGCAACGGGCAATGCTAGGACTGAGGGTGGGTGATTACTAAATTACTCCACTACTGGTTGAATCCTGCCCTAATCCTAGGACCCTAGATACAATATGAGGAGCTGAAAGAGGCTTGTCTTGCTCCTTGTTGCTTTGTTACCTTCTGCCCATCATGAACTATTCTCTACTTTGATCCCTATTTGCTGTAGCACCCTGCACTGGAGCCAGCAGACTACAGACTGAAACCTACAAACTGTGAGCTAAATAAACCTTTTTCTCTTTAACTCTTTGTCTTAGCAATGAGAGAAAAGTAAGACACACAGTCTAAGCAAGGTAGCAACTTAGCTAGACTCCTATCTCAAAGAATGAAAAGGGCTGAAGGGGTAGCTCAGTGCAAGGCCCTGGATACAATCCCCACTACTAAACTAAAATAAATAAATAAATAATAGTAATAATAATAATATTTTTTATAAAGTAAAAATAAGATACTCTCATCAAATAAAAGAACCTTGGTCTGGGTTCTTAAAATCAAGAACTAGAAATACAGTCGTACTTCAGTTCACGAACTCAATTTTTCCACAACTTTGGTGATAGAATTCCTTTCACAATTCTGGCTGTAACTGAATTGCAAGTTTGCACACGAATGAATGATGTATCACTGTATTTCTAAATGCTTATATATTAGCAGTGAACTCTCCACAGTACAAATACCTTTCGGAAACGTAAAAAATAGGTTACTGTGCTAATTAATTTGAACACCAGAAATATTTGGGCCAATGGTATGGGAATAGAACACTCACCTTTTATGTCTTTCATGTTCATGTCTTTGAGAGCTCTTCCTGCTTCTAAGAGATTTTTGAACTGAACAAAAGCAAAACCACGCATCTTTCCATCTGTTTATAAATATACAAAGATGTTAGAGACAGCAAGGGGGAGCCAACAGAGCATACAACGAACATTACAGCAACTCAGGCTGGCAAAACAGCCCAAATCCTGCCAGCAGTCATGAGGCCTCCTCTCCAAAGCAATACCTTATACACCAGTGATGGCAAGCCTTTTAGAGACTAAGTACACAAACTGCAACCCAAAACCCACTTATTTATCACAAAATGTCAACAATGCAATTAATACGAAAGTTTTAATTTAGAAAAAAGTAATTCATACATTATGTTTGGTCTTAAAACAACACCTATGCCATAGGTTTGACACATTATACAGTATTCTCTTATTGAGTGAATGCTGATTGAGGTTTGAAGAAAGTACCAACAGTAACTAGTCTTCTAAAACTGTGTCCTACTTAAAAATACCATTAAAGGAACAGCACTATTATTTGAGCTATTTTTCAAGCAGTGCAGACACTTGCTAAATACTATACTATCTAGGGCTTATGAAGAGCATGACATGAATGCAGCATCTCTAATTCATGGCAATACAGAAAAAAACATGGGTTAAACAGCCTTAAACTAGTACACGTAAAATGAAGGTGTACTTGTACCTGGCTTTCTTGGAATGTTCACTTCTAGTACAGTTCCAAATTGAGTAAATACCATTTTCAAGTCATCTTCTGAACACTGAAGCCAAAAGTGAAAAAAGAAAAAAATATCACAGCAAAAAAACATGAAACACCAGCTACTTAAGTTCTTCTTCAGCAAGAGTCTAAATCTTTTTAGTCTTTTACTTAGGAGACCAAGACACCAAACAGTTCTGAACGGTTTGGACAGTCATATTTTGTATCTAAGAAGTCAAACAGACATCATCAGAGAGCGCTTAACTCTTTCTCTGTGCCACCTTCCTCTAAAAAAGCCATCTTCACACATCCTCCCTGGGCCTCAAAACCCTGAGATGTGAGGCTGACCTGTCTAACTCTGGCCCCAATCCATGTTCTAACAGGAACGTGAGGATCTTGGCTTTCTCATGTGTACTTCCATTTCCCCGTCTGTAATAAGGGAGTGACCATTAGCACAAGGATCAAGTAAGGATTAAAGCAAATATTTGTTCTAAAAGTTGTATCATTTAAAAGTAAACAACTCTTTAATATGTTACCAAATATAGAATTTCAAATCAGAAAATGTATCCTGTGCTTTGATATTTGATGAAGGTCCTTCCTGCATAGACACAATGATTTGGAAAATCT